AGCTCTACTGTGAGAGTCTGATTGTGCATGAACTGAAAACAGGAGCACAAGTTAAAATAAAAAATAAATAAAATAAAAAGAGCTGAATTTTAGAGGAAATAAAGGCAAGGAAAATCACCTGCATCATCAGCAGTTGGTTAGACCTGGCTGGGTCAGGAACTGATCTGCTGGATTCGCCCATCCCAGCAGTGGCCTTCAGCGACCAGATTCTTGCCCTATCTACTTCGGACGTGCCAGCAAAATCGCCGAAGTAGGCTGCAACACCTTCTCGGTTCTGACCCCATATGAGGTCCCAGATGTGATCTGGGATTGGAATTCGGGGGGCCGAGAAACCCATTTCTCCAGATTGCAGAGTCTGGAAGGAAGGCAAGGATGACGACGGAGCTTCTTTAGCCTTGGATGGCTCAGCATCATCCTTCTCAGAAGAGTCAATTATTATGACCTCTTCTTCTTCAGGGGTGAGGACGAAAGCCTCAACCTCTCTTGCAATGTCTGCCGTGAAACCCTCAGCACTGGGCATCACGGCATCCTTATTCTTGTGCTCAACGGCACTCTCCTGAACTTCTTCTTGGACCCCTCCCTTAGATTCGGGAGTTTTCTGATCCACCTCCATCTCAGGAGGTGGCGGAGGGGTCTTTGGAGGTGATTGAGGTGGTGGCCGGGGAACCCTCGGCGATCCATTGCCTTCCTCAGGTTCCCTTATTTCAACGTCGATGGTCATCGGCCTCCGCTGAAAGTCATGCGGGCCGATGATGGCCATTCTTCGGCGCCTTTTCTGAAGCGGCTGCTCGTCCATGTCTGAGTCTGAAGACTCTTCTTGTATCTGGTCTTCGGGACGAACAGGGGCTTTCCCTTCTCTGTGTCTGTTACTCTCTTCAGACTGTAAAAGACAGGGGGGAGGAAGAGTGTGAGTAAAAAAAAAAAAAAACAAACAGAAACAGACAAAGTTAAGTTTGAAAGCTCACCGAGGTCTTCAGCAAAGCCTCGTCTTCTTCAGCTGCCCTAGCTGCAGCTTCCTCTTCAACAGCCCTGGAGGACCCTTCTCCTCCTTCACAAGCTTCGATAACCCGTGCAACCTCTTCGGCCGTACGGGCAGCTTCAGCTTCTTCGTCCAGCAGCTGAAACCAGGGATCTCTCTTCTTCCACCAAGGCTTCTGCCTCTGATACAGAGCAACAGCCTCAATTTGGAAGTGGGAATAGTCTAGATGAACTTCCCTATGCCTCGGTTCAGTGATGGAGGGGGCCCGATCAGTTACAACTCGTTCTCGGTTGACGCCAAGACGAGCGTAGTTAATGCCGACGTTGGTCTCGTCCCGCTCTGAAAAAGAAAAGGGGAAAGGTCAGTTCAGTTAGGCTGGCACAACATAGAAAAAGCGAAGTGAGGAGAAAAAGAGATAATTAAAAAGCCTCGGCCCCAGCCGAAGAAGCTTACCATCCTTAAACTTTCGGCTGAGGCCAACAGCTGCTAGCATGTTCTCTTGGAAAACATAATGCGTATCGGGGAGCCAAGTCTCCGGGATATGCTGCATTCGGCCGCTGCCCCCCCCCCCGGTTCGGCAGCTTGCCGAAGATGTTCTGTTGATTAAGGTTCGGATCTGGCCCGTTATCTGCGGGGGGACCTAGACTTCCCATGTCGGGATCAGGCTCAGCAAGGTACCGGGGAGCGCTGAAGACGCAAGGGTGGCTCGGGTCCGTGGGTGCCCTAACCCAAATCCATTGACCTCTCCAGTCCTTGTCTGAAGAGTCGTTCGGCCACATGGTTAGGTACTGAGGCCGAGACTCAATCCGGTACCACCCAGAACCATGACTTCCGTGCCCACTTTGAATATTTGGCACTAGCCGATGAAGCTTTTTGAAGCAGTGCAGGTTCGGCACATACTTGAAGAACTTGCAGACCCATAAGTATGTCATCACCCTTCGGATGCTAGTGGGAGTTAGCTGACATAGGGAAATATTGTAATGGATCAGCAAGTCTCGGACGAATACGTCCAAAGGGAACCTCAGCCCATACTGAAGTTGTCTTGTGTACACCCCCACATACCCCGGGGGTGGACGATGGATTCTATCGGATGCCACGGGCATTCGGCACCAATACCCATGAGCTTCAAGGATGCCGTAATGCAGCTCCATTTGTTCGGCAAACCGATACTGTTCGGCATTCCCCACCCACCATGAGTAGGGGCGGTTCTTTATCATGGCCGAAGCTACTTCGGCATCCTCCCACTCTGAAAACCCGGGGAGGATATCCCAAAGGACAGCGGGAACTTCATCGTCCCGCCCAGAAGCGCTCGGCCCCTCCGTTCTCTGAGGAGGAGCCGAGGAAATTGGAGTCGCCCTAATCCCTTCAGCAGGGTCAGACTCTGGCCTTTGTCCATTCCAGGCCCCAATCCTGTTCCTAGGATCGGGAATTGGCCTTGCTCTTCTTGGAGCACGGGCTCTACCCCTAACTCCTCTTGCCATTGATGATTTCGAAGAAAAAAGTCGAAAAAAGAGGGAAGGAGTTCGAATTCGAAGAAAAATAAACTAAAATTAAAGGAATTTACCTTAATCTGAAGCGAAAGTTGCCGATTTACGAGTTCGTAGTGGCAAGTCTCAGTTTCTAAGCTTAATGCTCGGGGAATTTGCGAAGTTTTGATGCGGGTTCTTGGGTTCTCTCGAGAATTCTGGGTTTGTGTTGGTGAATAAGTGAGGAGAGATGACGCGCCTCTGATTATATCTCCAGAAATGGGAATACGGGGAGTCCGCGTTTCAATTTCTCTTAAATACCCCACTAAGTAACCATTAAACACACGACCTTGCGATTAAACTGCCCATTATCCGTCCAACTTCCACAATCATCCGCCTTAACCGTTGTTATCTCATTAATTACGGTTTAAATTCAAATTTTTGGATTAATTAAATCATTCACTTCCCTCCTTTTCTGAATTAAATCAAACCCGACCCGTCATCCTTCCAAATCGGGTCTGGGGGGCAAGTTGTTTGGGTCCAATTTAGTCCAATTGGGCTTAGGCATTAAATGATCCAATTAAAAGCCCAAGGTCAAGGTTCATCTCTCCAATTGTGCTAAAGTCAAAGATCAGCCCTCAAGGCAAGCCAATTGGGCTAAGGCCCAACTTCTCCATGTATGAAGAGGTATAAAAGCCATCAATATTACATTTTTACATAGATTCTGATTAATTCAAGCAAAGCCTCAAGCAACAAATTCTCTTGCATAGTGTTCTCTTTCTACACATTGTACTGACTTTAGCATCGGAGGGGCCTTCCTCGGCAACACCCCCGAGGCTAGTTTACGTGTGTTTACTGTGCAGGAAACCTTCGGCCCAACATTACTTGGACCGAATCTAGTCTTCTCCGTTTCATCGGACCTTCGGCAAGGTCCCATTGTTTTCACCCGAAACAAGTGTCATTAATTATTTGTCGTTTTTATATAATCTTTTGAGATTTGATAATGCAGGATGAGATAGAGATAGCACAAACAAGAAAGGATATTGCAAAAGAGGTGAGGGAGGCAAAAGAAGCTGAAGCAGCCATGGATTTGCATGTTGCCAAGGCAGATGAATTAGCCGAAAAGGAGATGTCTAAGCATATAGCTAACCAACATGAACAACACCATTAATAATATTATCCCACGTGTTTACTTAGTCACAATTAATTAAGTACACCAAAAACTTTGTCATAAACAACAATAAGGTATAGATATATGATGATTTTGAATTTGTATTTGATAGGTGAAAGTTTAGAGTGTTGAAATATTCTTCATTTTGATTCCCAGTCATTATTACTATATTGAAATTTTGGAATTAACTTTTGTTTGGTCTATTCTAAATACAAGTATACAATTGAGTTTTTTCGTAAAAAAAAAAAAAAAAGAAGAAAATACAAGATAAGTAGATTGTTTTTTTAATCATGTAGATTGTATGTCAATTTTATCACAAAAATGTCAATTGGTGTGCAAGATTTATTTGTTAATCAAGGAGATTGCTCGGCAAATATCCATTGAGCAATGAGCAATGAGCAATGAGCAATGAGCAATACATAATACTGAGAATTAGAGAATAATGTTTCGTAACTACTTTATGAAGGCCCGATTCATAGTCATTAGTCATTATAACCTCTGCGCCTACAAAAGGCCTAAAACTAAAGGAGTCTCAAATATGTCTTAAGAGTTAGGATACATACTAATTGTATTTATGTTGCACTTGCACCTTGCAATAATAGAGTACATTTAACAAAGTGGCTCATTGGTAATTGCATGTGATAGCTAATGAAAGGCCACAGTAATGCTTTTGTGATTAACTGATTACCCACAATTATCAACAACAACAAAAGGGAACTAAGTAAGCTAACTAGAAGAGAAATAGTAAAAGGCGCACGAAAAATACCGTGAATTTGTGAAATAAACTAGGCTATGGGAAAAAAACACCAACAACTGCATGAAGCTAGAGTAACAATGGAGGATGGATGATGATTTACAAGGATCTTATTTGTGGAATGCTCTCTCAAACGCTCTAACTCTCTCCTTGAAACCCTAGGAAATGGGTTAGAATTTGTCAAGACTACCATAAACGAGCTACAAGGGGTATTTATACTAGGTTATAACTTATAAGTTTTATAACAAGCATTAATAAACTAGAGGATTCGCAACGTGTGCCTATGAAATTGGGTCATTACGGACGCGTAAAAAACGACACGGGCATGTTGATTTCCAAAAGGTTTCGAAATCTAAAAGCTGAAGCAACATGGACAAATCGTCGAGAACAACACGTCCTTGCCAAGCACAACATGTACCTGTTGCTCTAAATCATCCAATTTCCGACTTCTGCCTTCTATATTTTCCATTCATCACAGAGATACTTCTTTTTGCACTAACGCGTCTCATGATTTTGCAACATCATTCCACTTCCTTAGCAAAACCAACTAAGCACACCATCCACATGCTCCATAGACCCAAACCTAAACCATATAACTCCATATTCTTCATTGTTAAGTGTATTCGGCAATCGGCATCGAGCCAATTTAATTTCTTCTACTCTTGCTTAGCTTGTGTAAGGGAACAAAGTTGATAGTTGATTGACTTGATTCAATTTTTAGGGGTTTAAACCAAAACAACGTAATCCACCTCCCTAACCGAGCGTTCTTCCGCTCCCAAAACCCCCCACGTCTCAGTCTTCCCCGATAATGGCCCGCCGCCGCCATTAACACCCCACCTCCATTACCTTCTTCAGAAATACATTCTCTCCAAGTTTGGGTTTCAAGGTATGCTCCCATTAATCTATGTTAATCCCATTAAATTCATGATTCTTTACTTATAATTTCTGCCAATTTTCAAGTTTCAATCGAAAATTTTGATCCCCATTTTCCCAAAATTAGCATGAACTAACAAGATTGTGAATAACCCTTTTTTGATTTTGAATTCAAGAGCTTATATTAGCAATGATTCAAAGATTTTGTCTTTCATTTCGACCCATTCGTCGATTTTCTGTAGTTGGTCGTAATCTTTCTTGTTCACCCTTTAACGCCATTGATACGCCAACAATTAGCAATTCAAGTAGCTGTGTTAGCAGTAATCATGATATTAATAGTGGTAGTAATTGTAGTGTTAATGCTGATTCAAGGATTAAACCTAAGTTGGAAGAACCAGCTCTTATTAAGCTTAAGAAAGAGAGAGACCCAGATAAGCTATTTAAACTGTTCAAGGATAATGCCCACAATCGTCTTGTTATTGAAAACAAGTATGCTTTCGAGGATACGGTTTCGAGGTTGGCGGGTGCAAGGAGATATGATTACATTGAGCATTTGCTTGAGCATCAGAAGTCCTTGCCTCAGGGTAGGAGGGAGGGTTTTATTGTTAGGATTATAATGTTGTACGGAAGGGCAGGTATGGTTAAACAAGCTGTCGATACGTTCTATAATATGCATTTGTTTGGTTGTAAAAGGACTGTAAAATCTGTCAATGCTGCCCTGAAAGTATTGAGTCAGACCCGTGATTTGGGAGCTATTAATTTGTTCCTTATGAAGGTGCCTCAGGAGTTTGGGGTTCAGCTTGATGTGATTTCAGTTAATATTGTGATTAATGCTTTTTGTGGGATGGGAATATTAGATAAGGCTTATTTAGTGATGGTAGAGATGGAAAAGGCGGGGATAAAGCCTGATGTTGTTTCGTATACGACTCTTATATCATCTTTCTACAAGTATGGTCGTTGGGAGATTGGAAATGGACTGTGGAATCTCATGGCTTATAAGGGATGTTATCCTAACATTGCTACGTTTAATGCTAGAATCCAATTTTTAGTAAGTAGAGGGCGAGCATGGGAAGCAAATGACTTGCTGGGCTTGATGGAAAATCTAGAGATGCAACCAGATGAAGTTACTTATAATTTGGTAATCAAAGGGTTTTGTCGGGCTGGGTTTTTTGATATGGCCAAAAGGATTTTTTCGGCCTTACATGGTCGGGGTTATAAAGCTAATGCTAAAATTTATCAGACTATGGTACATTACTTATGCATGGCAGGGGATTTTAATTGTGCATATCTCATGTGCAAAGAATGCATGAAGAAAAACTGGACTCCGAATGTAGACACCATTTGTACATTACTTAAGGGTTTAAAGAGTATTGGAGAATTAGATAAGGCTGCAATGATATTTTATTTGGCTCAAAGAAGACATCCTCCCTTTCCTGCGAGGCAGTTGGATGCTTTTAAAGCTATATTAGCAAGAAGTTGACATTTGACGGGTTGAAGTGCTCATATCATATCATCTTCCTAAGCTACATTGGCTGGTTGGTGTTATTTACTATCTTTGGTATTGAGAATTAGAACGGCATGAGACATTGTATGGGTTAGGCATCCAAGGGACAATACAATTGTGTTCTTTTGTGTCCTATAGCTTTTGATGAACTGACCGTAAATGTTGCCTCCCAATTGTGGTAAGTTGCTTCTTGTCTTTCAATCAACAAATTTCTCTCCCTTTCTTTTTTGCTGCTTTTATAAATGATTGCATGACATACACATAACTTGCTAGCTTTCCTCTTTTCAAACAGGATAAGACAGTCCATATAATGCAAATTGTGAATTCCTTTCATTTTTATTGTATATTTACACATGTGATTACGGGTCTTAAGATGAATTCTTGTGTAATGACTTTTTTTTATGTTTTGCTGGCTAAGAGAAAGGTTGCCACTTGTTTTTGCACTAGAAAGTGGCTTCTTTCTTGTGAAATTGAGTTTTCATTGTGGCTGGGATGCATTTTCTATGCTCTCAGACGCTTTTGAAACACTAGCAAAATTTATGTGTGATCTTTGAAATGAAAAGGTGACGAAAGGTATTGCTAATGCCGTTCTTACTTTGGTCTCCTATGGGTGATTTGGTTGATAAGGAATTAAGGATTGATAAAACCATCATTAATCAGGTGACTTATTAAGATTTCTTTGTTAGGTTGTGGAATTAGTTGCATAATTTAATGTACAAAGGGACACTTGAGTGCTTTTTTTTTGTTTTGTTAACAATTGACCACCTTCAAATAGGTTAAATTGCTCCTGGTGTTCCAAAGACATTGCCCTAGTTTGATTTTCAGGGATGTAATCAGAAATGTTGACCTAAAATTTCTGTAGAAAATTGGAGTGGAAAGTTGCAGCACATATTAGAGAAGACCAAGTCTGAGATTGGTTAAATGATGCATGTCAGAGACTGCAAAAACTTGGCTTGGACAAAATCTTTGAAGAGGACTCAGAGGAGGTATAAGAAACCACTTTATAAGATACATTGTATCCCCATATTGTTGCACACTTACACTAGTCCAGCCATCTTAGCCACCTAAGTGAACATCAATGATATCTCTTGTTTTTTCTGGATAGCATGATGTGTTTCTAGGTTTTCAGTAGGATTTGTCTTCATATGCTTGTTGTCAATTTTCTTTATCTGGAGCTGTTTATTATGAGTGACTGCTTCATTGAATCTATGAGTAGTCTTTTGTTTAACGAACCTTTAATGCATTACACTATCTGTTGTGGAGTGTCAATGCTTTTGTTTTGAAAAACAACCAAGTCCCTATAAGACTTTTTATAAAAACTGGTTTTCTCTATTGCAGCATGAGGGAAGTATATAGACAGGAGTAACTTCAGAGGGTGTAAAGTGATTCCAGAAAGCCCTCTGGCAGTCCAAGAATGAAGTTGATAATAATGGATACCATTGTCAAATTGCTGCCATTGTTCTGATTTTGGTATTAACGGGAAGAAAGCGAGTATGAAAATGTAATTTGGGTTCATTATTTTTTTAAATCCATTTAATGCTAAGGATTTTAAGATTACAACTGATACAGATAGCTCACTGCCTTTCAGGAATTTCCAGTTATGCAGAAGTCAAAGCTGCCTGTGGCATTAGTCTCTCATTTTTCTCTCATTGGAAGTTTTAGCCTTCTTTTTTGGCTTTTTCCGGGCAATTTTTCCTACAAGCCTCATATGGATAGGGTATTTGAGCACAACTTTGAGAAGCTTCAAAGTTATTGATTCTTTAATTCATTTATAGATCAATTATTCTTAGAAATTGGTATACAATGGGAAAATACAATACGCCTCTCTGTAATTCTTTCCATTCTATAGCTGATTTTTCAAGCAATGAAAAAGTTGCATTTGGTCTAAGAATTTCTATTTCCTTTTCACTTCCCTCTTCTGCTGTGTTAGTGTCTCTTCTTGTCAGTTGTCACCCTACTGAATATTCATTATGACAATATCAAAGGCTTGGATTTGATGCTTCTGAGGTAATTGGATAGATGTTCGTAGTCAATTAGCCATTTAGTCAAATGTGTTTTATCTTCTCCATGCATATGTTTAGGTTTGGAAGTTTGTCTTCATGTTATCGTCAATTTCTTGTGTGCCTTCTAGACATGCAATGCATCAGAAACTCCATTAGCTCAAAATTATTTCTGTTGCAGGCCCTTGGAAATCCTATTGCCACTTGCAAGTTACTTCATACACGCAAATTAACTAAATGAGTGTGAGCATATGCTTAATTAAGTTTCTTGATGAACATATCATGTTTCATGCTGTTGTTCCAAACATGACTGCTTACACTGTAACATGCCCAGAGATTGACTCATGCTACTTTTATGGTGCTTTTGATTTCTGAGTTCCTTAACAAAAAGGACATGCTACCACATCCCTTTATTTGTACATCTGGAAGATGGACACATGCTCCTTTTATGGTGCTTTTGATTTCTGAGTTCCTTAACAAAAAGGACATGCTAGCACATCCCTTTATTTGTACATCTGGAATATGGACATATCGAAGATTGACGATATGGGTCTTTATTGTTTATGTGTGCCTGATCAAGCTGGACATGCTGGGCAGCTGGAGTCTGAACTGTGTTCAACTCTACTAGTCAGGATTTTTAGAGCACCTAGCACTTGGTCAGCTTCCAATGCATTGATCTGTTCATTCTATATATTATGATACATCCTTTCTGTTTAGCTCTATTTATATCTGTCATGCTTTTCTTCAGAAGCTAAGAGTGTGCCACCACATTGTACTTCAACTGTTCGAAAAGATTATGGTTTGACTCATAGTTTTTTGTCCTTCCATGACTGGTTCTATACTTGGGTTTCTCATTGTCTATTTGCATAGTGAACGATTACTTTTGTGACATTATGTTTAGGATCAAGGGATGACTTTGCTCTTTCTGGTAGTAGGTATGTCGGCTTTGACGTGACTGTTTCCCCGGTTTTACAAGATTCATTCTCTAACATGTGGCCCTTCATTGATTATCGCTTTTTATCTTTGTAAATGGATTGGACTCTTTTATCAGAAAATTAAGTTGTAGCAGGTCGAGTTACCAAAATGGATCACTCATAAATTATGTTGCCATTGAGTTGATAGTTGCAATAGCACAAGCGAGGTGGTTTGTTGGTAGGTTTGTTACTGCTACTGTTGACATATTATTCTCTATTTATTTGGTGTATTCTGTGTTGCAATTATTGGTTGAGAACGTCAATGTTTTTTCAATGTAATAAATGTTGACTATGTTTCTGAATACAATTCGAAGGAAAAGTTAGTTCCTCTTTTTTTTTGATGAAATAAGCTGAAGTATGAAAAAACTAAGCACAGACGTATTCGATCTTTAGCCATGCTCGATCTGTATTTGTTTACGATTTTTCTCAATCGTGTTGAGATGTTTTGTCCTTGATCTCAATTTAGCTCATGTCATGAATGAACATCATATTGGCTTGTGGTCATTGACCTGGTTGGCCCGTGTTGACTAAACCATTTGGTTGCCTCTACCTTTTGTTTAGTTCACCACATTAATTAATCTCTTAAAGACCCTAGTGACAGGAAATTCAAATGTAAGTTGCCCACAACCAACTACTTCATCTCACAGTTAGCCACTTGACAAATTTAAAGTGGTTAATATTTTGACCAAGGGTGCTAATGAATGGTGTAAAACAAATTTTTGGGTTTGTAAGAATGTTCTGGTACTAGTTTTGTTTACAGAAGCCATTGTTGCTGTAAGTTTAAGTTTCCAGAAGCAAGTGAGCTACCCACAGCAAATTCCCACCTACCGTTTTCCCTAACATTGCTAACATTTTGAGTATCTGTCTACTAAGGTGACAACAAAATCAGGAATAATCTTTCTCCTGCAACCTTCATCTATACATAGGAGCACTGTGTTTTCATTTACTAATATCAGAAATCGCCAGGGCTTGTTCTGTGCAGAGCAACTTAAATGACGAAAGAAGGTATCTCTGGAGCCTTCTATAAACTTAACCTGCATTGTCCTGAATGTGCTCATAAGATCAGGAGTCCCCTTTTGAAAATCCAAGGTACATGTTGCTGTTCTCTTGTGATTTAAAGGTAAGAATAGATATCCAAAGTAGTGTTGTGTATCAAATAAAAGCAATGTAGATTTGTAGAACTGATGCCATATGGTCTAGCCTGATTAGAATTCGGCAGCCTATTTGCCAACCTAATTGGTTAAGCCATTCTTATGATACGGGCCAGCCTGATTTACCAGGTTTGGATGCATCTCCTTTGCCTTGAGGTGTCGGCCAGATGGTCCGGACTTCTTTTGGCTATGGCCTGCCCTTACCATGCTAAGATCAAGGCCAATTTTACAGTAATATGTTGTCTTCAAAACTTATGAGGTCAAAATTTTTAACTTAGTCCTCACATACCAAATATTGCAACCTGCATCACAAATTCCACAACTCTTCTGCTAAGCCTGTGCCATTTTCCTTTGCATTTTTAGTAATTAAATGCTGTAAACGTATCATTCAATGCTCTTTTTCTGAACCAATGCCATCTATTGAACAAGCAGGAGTTCGTGCTGTAGATGTAAACTTCGAGAAGAGTGAAGTAAAGGTTGTGGGAGCATTCGATTCGAAGAAGATCCACCAGAAGCTAGAGAGGTTGAGCAAGAGGAAGGTGGAGTTACTAAAAGTTGAACAAAACTACAAACATACAGTTGTGGTAGAGAAAGTTGTCAAGGAGACCAAAGAAGTAAGTAATTTGTAGGTTTTATTCTGAGGCCATATCTAAATTAGCCCTAGATAAGTAGAAACTTCATATACTGTATTCTATGTCTTATATGTACAACTAGCATAGTGATATACTTATAATGATGTATATGGACAAGACTTTCAAAATTCGAAAAGTTTTCTAAAGTAATTTGACATAATATGGGAGCATCCTTTCTAATAATAACATGGTTATAACTACCTCATTTTTTTCCTAATATACCAAGTACTCCATTTGCACCGGAAAAAAAAAAAAAAAAAGAAAAAAAGAAAAACCTAAGAACTCCCTCCTTGTGGATTTTGCAGGTGGCTGTATTCACCCATAAAGTGAAGGTACATCTGCATTGTGAGCAATGCGAGGCTGATCTTCGTAGGAAGCTATTAAGACATAAAGGTATAACGACGACTATTTTTGGATGAAACAAATATAAACGTACCTTGTATAGTTGCATTTATCTTTCCTTGTGTTATTAACAGGGATCTATAATGTTAAATCGGATATGAAAGCTCAGACGCTTGCTGTTGAGGGTACAATTGAAAGTGAGAAGTTGGTTAAGCACATACGAAGTAAATTCCACAAACATGCAGAACTCATAACTGCCAAGGAAATAAAGAAGGAAGAGAAGAAAGAAAAGACAGAAGAGATCAAGAAGGTAGAGGAAACGAAAACCACAAACAAAGTCATTGACGTTGAAGAAGTGAAAAACGTGCAAGAGAAGCTTAAAGCAAGTAATACTCCTTACATTATTCACTACGTCTATGCTCCTCAGTGGTTCAGCGATGAAGATCCAAATGCTTGCTCTATCATGTAATAACACACTCCTACACGATTGTGTAATTGCATGATTAACACGACATTTGTAAATCGTTTACACCGTGATTATACTTGTAAAATGTCCCAACATGTTTTTGTATATAACACCAAAGGCTATATAAGGATTCAACTTCCAATCTTTCGCCAGTTTACAAATCCCATGCTCTTGAATCCTGACCAGCGCTTCTCCACGTTTAGTTTAGTTTCATGAAACAAATATTTTTTTTTTAAAGAGGGACAGCCTTGGACATCATTTGTCACAATAATTCTTAAAACAATGACCAATCTCGAATAACATTGATCCTTTTTTTTTTTTTTTTTGTTACATTAGAATTATAATGAGTACTCTAAATTGCATCAAAAAATAAAAAAAAAAATAAAAAAATAAAAAATTAATAATAATAATAATAATGAGCATTTTAAAATGGAAGGATTAATTCAGCATATGCTAAGTTTAATTATTTTGACTTAAAATTGGAACATATAGAGTACGCATATACTCACAATTCACCCCTCAGCTATATGAAAATTTGTATGTAAGCTTGTTCAAAAAAAAAAATTCCAATTGTCTAATCGAATAATATGAATACATTATTGAGGTTTGTCCCAGCCACACATCCACCCGTCAGAATTCCGAAATTACATAGATAGAGCAGTTCGTACAAAGCAATCTTGGATGGATTCTAGACATGTTCTACTTGAAAGAGGCTTCAATGTATCTCAACCATGATGGATCATCGTGAAACTTTTTAGACTTGACAAAAAAAAATCCATTAGTCAGACTTGGGTACGTATTCCTGGAATCAATCCTTGACTCATCAAGTAGTACATGGCAATAGCTAGTAAAATAATGAAGATGATGATCCAATAGTTGAGACCTGCATCCACCAAAACAAAGTTCAGGACTCAAACATATTGGAATGATTACTAATAAGGAGAAATTTCATGGCACTTTTGATGAATATGATGTAATTTAAGCTTCGAATCGGAGCAAGGACAAACCATTGGCACTTTTGTCTTGAACCAGTGTCACCCTCACGCTTGAATCCATGGAAGCAGAACCCAAAGCCCTGGACATAGAGCAATAATTTCAATGATTACTCTAAACTCGTAAAAACAGATGATTTAAATAGGATGAAAGGCAATGTTTCCTAACCTTGAATCACGTGAGAACGTCAAAGCAGTTACCAGACCCAAGTGTGCTTTCTTTACATTCATCTGGACTTGCATCTTTGATGAATTTATAATCAGAAGGTCCCCTTCATTGGTCCCACTACAAGTATACATCAAAGTGGAAAATCTTAAGCAAACATACAAC